TTTTTTCCACACTATAATGTATTACATTTCATTCAGTCTGTCACATTATCCTACCCTCTCTTTTAAATTATCCTGTCACATTACCTTGTCTGTCACATTACCTTGTCTGTCACTTTACCTGACCTGTCTGTCACATTATCCTTTCCAGTCTGTCACATTATCATTTCCAGTCTGTCACATTATCCTTTCCAGTCTGTCACTTCATTCTGAATGTCACATTATCCTGTCTGTCACACTATCCTACCCTCTCTTTTAAATTATCCTGTCATGTCTGTCACATTATCCTACCCTCTCTGTCACGTTAGCCAGTCTGTCACATTATAATGTATTTCATTTCATTCTGTCTGTCACATTATCCTACCCTCTCTTTTAAATTATACTGTCATGTCTGTCACATTTTTCTGTCTTTCACACTACCTGCCCTGTCTGTCATTTTCCTCTCTGTCACATTATCATGGCTGTCACTTCATTCTGTCTGTCACATTATCCTTTCATGTCTTTCAAATAATTCTGTTGTCTGTCACATTATCCTGCCGCGTCTGTCACATTATCCAGTCACGTATGTCACATTATCCTGTCTGTCACATTATCCTGTCATGTATGTCACATTATCATGTCTGTCACATCATCATATCTGTCACTTTATCATGTCTGTCACATTATTCTAAGTTTGTCACGTTCCGAGTAAAAAAAATATAAGAGAGCGCAGTGAAAATTGTATACACAATGATTTAAAATAAATGATAAAAATTAAATAAGGATAAAGACACAACGAAACCTTACCAAGTTTCAAAGTACAATACAAATAAAAACACAAATACTATTAGCGCTTAGGTTAATACTCCCCTTTAACACAAAAGTGGGGAGAAAAATCAGAGAGTAAACAAAACCAAATTAAAATAATCCCAACAGTATTCCTAATTAGAAACAAGTATATTATTCCAAATTGTAGGGAATAAAACAGTGATCTGTGTGTTCTTTCAGTTGTATCCAATCCAAGTGTCACCTTGTATCCACCTTCAGTTAGAAAAGACACAAGCATAGTGTAAAAGTGTAAATATTTATTTCCAAAACCAACCTCTTTGAGGAACTTACAAGATTTGGTGGTGGAACTTGTGAAGAAGTGCCCTTCGCCACTTGTGCCTGGAGGGGACTACTGGCTAGCCTCCTGCCTTCCGACTATGGGCCCTGTGCAATCTCCCGACTGGGATCCGTGAACGGCTCCAAACTCCCGAACGGCAATACACGAACTGCTGCTAGCCGCCGAACAACAATATCCACCAAGCGGCTTTCGTTTCCATCCAGCAGTCTTTAAACGTGAAGAAGAAATCCCCCCAATAACGAGACAGAAGCTCCGCATTGAGGGTCAAACAGGATCTGGCTTTACTGTGGGCTACCTGCCCGTATTTATGCAGGTCTCCCACTTGGTGGACACTCCCCTATGCAGGTCTCCCACTTGGTGGACTTAAATGACAGACAGATATGGGGACATTCCAGACACACAGTCACAGATTTTACCCACAGTGCATTATGATTCCCTCCCCTCTGCCCTGGAGATAATTACCAAGTAACTCAATTATCTCCAGGACAAAGCCAGTCGCCATTTTAAATATAAAATCATAAAAGACATAAAAGTGTATAACTTTAAAATAACCGAACATTTCCCATTCGTATCACATATCCCCAGATAGCCTGGATCTGAGTGCATATTATTAGCGAATAGTGCTCAGATCCCACACACATAGTTCAATCGCCATGGAGTCAAAGTTCTTACAGTCTTTCGGTATACGAATGACTCCATGGGAAGGCTATCTGGGTTAAGTCTTTTCGTATGTTCCAAACCTCCTGAACGGCCGGTATTCGTATGCTTTCGTGGAGACATCCAGGCGTTCCGTTGTTTCAGCGGTGTTCGGCAGAAAAAGTGTCCGTTTTTAGTTCCATAGAAATAGAGCCAAACACCGCTGGGCTTTCGCGTGGTTTAAAATGGCCGCTGCCTCGTGGTCAACATACGAACGACGACCACCCTAAATTCAGTTTTATTGAGAAGTGTCTGCGGTTAACCACAACATTCTAATTGGGATCAATAGGTTAACCAGCAGCACACTTCTCTCCTGGGTGGCCGTCCGTTCGGCAGGTTTGTTCGGGAAAAATGGTTCTGTCACACTAGCATTTCAACATCGAATGGGAGACCACACACAGGGGGTCGTGTGGCTCCCATTACGGATTGCAACATTGTATCCACCCTCTGTTAATCGGTTCTCAGGGTGGCAGCCGTTCATATACCGACCACGTGGCGGTGGCCATCTTGGATCCCCTTTTAGCCCAGCGGTGTTTGGTCATCATGTGGCTGGAGCTAAAATCGACTACTCAACGGCACGAACACCACCGGACTTCCAGACCGTTCGGGACCACCGGTCCTTCGTTATTTTCATACAAACCGTCCATTCGTATGTTTTCCTGTGTATTTGTATTAAACAATGTTTCGTGTGGCATTCAGCTAGTTGTGCTGAGATCTGAGCGGTAGTTCCCCGAAGGATGCGCTCAGATCCCAGCTATCTATACAGATGTCATTCAGTTAAATGGCACGAATAACGTGCAAGTTATGCATTTTTATGTAAAAAGACAGGTTCTGCTCTACAGAAGGACAATCCAATTAACAGTATATTCTTATGGGAGTATCCCTCTAGTACAGCAGTGCATGGTGGGAAAATTGTCCTGTATGTTCAGTTCCCCATGTAGTCCCCTACTGTACAACCCCTGCAAAGTCACTCCAGAAACCCCTTGCATGGGCAACTGTGTAGCGGATGGCATTGGGCTGTCCTCAAGATTTCGTGGTAAAAATGTATTTGTGTAATTATTCCCATGTATAACTGTAAATGTATGTAGCTTTCGTCTGCTTGTTTGGTAGCGTTCCTTCCGTTTTCATAAGAAAGAAACTACCGAACCATCAGACCACCCCAGTGAGAAGTGTGTACCTCGTTAAGCTTTCACACTCTGTAACCGCAGCTTAATTGACCGTGAAATTGCTAGTTTATATGTATCTGTGTGGTCGCTGTTCGACATACGAATCACGTGGCGGCGGCCATCTTACACAAGAAAATCTCAGCGGTGTTTGGTCGTCGAGTGTCTGGAACTCAAATCAGACACTCAAACACCGCTGAGACCTTCAGAGCTCCATAACTCACGAACGAAGGGGCCAGTCAGCCCCTCATTCGGTAAAATAAATGTACCGAACAAGGGAATACATACGAATATAAGATTAGCTGTGGATGGCAAGTATTTCTGTGTGTTTTAACTACCAAACGGAGACCGACCGCAGGGCCAAAACACATGGAGCCTTTTTCGGATACTATCTCGTGTGCGGT